ATATCGGGATATTATCGATATCGATAAAAATTGAATAAAAATCACAGAAATTGTAAGAAAAACTTAGAAATTTTTATTGAAACTTTGCAGGATGTTTATTTAGTCAATTATCTATTAGTTTATCTCAAAAAATTGGAAGGAAATGAATTGCATGATAGATATAACTTATTTAAGTTGATTATATAACGAGCTGGTAAACATTGTGAGTGTAGAAAATATGTAGTAATTAATGAAAGAAATTTAAACACACCATAATCATTTATATATAATGAATTAGTACAATATTTTACACTTTATACATTGCATGGTAAGATACATGAGTGACTTAGCAAGGTCTAAAATATCGATGATATCGGAAATATTGGTAGTCCAAAAAAATATCGGTAGTCCAAAAACACAGAAATTTCGATAGAAATATCGGGATATTATGAATATTTTAGACCATGTTTGAGTAGAGGGAGAGTGATAGATTTTTGCTCACATGAGTTGCTACTTTTTTGTAGGACCCACTATTTTTTGGGGGCTATATGTAGCCTAATTTTATGCTGCCTAAATAAGGAAGTAGCTAGCCAGTGATGGATCTAGCCCAATTTTCGAGCCCACTCGAGATGAAATTTCTCACTAAGACTTCAAATATAGTAGCCTTATGGAGGATAAAGTCTTCATTGAGAATGCTCTTAGAAAAAAATACTAGTGGTTGTTGATTTGTAGGGGCTTAGCATGGTTGTTGCTAGGTTTTGTACCAAATCTACTGTTGGATTGAATATCGAACTATATTATCTTCATTTGATGCTTTGAATTATCCTCCCTCTGCCTCTGAACAAAATCTAAAGATTTGAGATGTACTCATTAAGTATAAATTGATTAAGTCCAATAAGGTGTTCATCGGACCGCTTATTAATCGGAATAACATTAAAAGATACTTTTAAGTTGGGTGTATAAAAATACTTGTAGGGTTTATATAAAATTTCCCAACCTAGGTGCCGCCAATTTTTTCTCCACTGGTCAAGTAAAACGCCTCGTTTTCCCCTCTTCCATCTCTATCGCATTTTCGGTATTGGTTCCTTGCACAAATTGCATCAATATATATAAAGAAAATTAATGAAAAATTTTGAAAACTTTGAGATTTAACGATAAGGACAAAATAAAGTGTAAAATAAATAGTAAGAGTTTAATTTTTTGATGTAAAAATATGATTTTTCGTTAAATTGAACGGTAAGAACTTTTCGTTAAAATTTCGTCTCACTGTATATATATATATATACACACACACGATATGCTATTGTATTGTATTGATAAACACAGTCAGTCTCCTCTCCTCTGTGCTAGCTTTTTAGCTCATAGTCCATATCTTCAATTCAAGCTCTGATTCAGGCTCAAATGGTATCCGATACCACCATTGTCACTTGGTATTTGCTCTCTTTCTTCACTATTATGCTATTATAGAGATAGCAAGTAAAGCAAGTTTCGTTCATTCCGTTTGTTTTTGTGCGCAGGGGCTCTGGGGAAGACGGCCAATTAGGAATCGGGAATAACGAGGAGAAGGAATGGGTGTGCGCCGTCAAAGCCCTCGAGTCGCAGACTGTCCGCTCTGTTGTCGCTGGCAGCCGAAACTCCCTCGCCATTTGCGATGATGGCAAGGTGGGCCCCTTTTTTCTTCTTCTTCTTCATCTTGTCTTTTTATCACTCTCTCCACTGTTTTGATTACTGCCCTCTTCTTCACTTGTTTGTGATTGTTGGTTTTGGGTTTTATTGAAAGTTGGATTTTTAATTTTTAATATTTGGTTGTGGGTTTTACTGAAAGTTTGGATATTTGTTGAATTTTTTGTTTTGGGTTTACTGAAAGTTTGGATTTTGGGTTTACTGAAAATTTTGATTTTTGTTGAATTTTTGGTTTTGGGTTTACTAAAAGTTTGATTGTTTGGGTTGTGAATTGAATTGGGTTACCAGTTGTTTACATGGGGTTGGAACCAGAGAGGAACCCTGGGGCATCCTCCTGAGACCAAATCTGAGAACATTCCAAGCCAGAGCAAAACCGAGAACATTCCAAGCCAGGTTAAAGCTCTGGCCAATGTCAAAATTGTTCAGGTAATTTCCGATTATACTCAGAAATCGTACTTTCATATGAAATTGTTAACTAGCGTTATAATTTTCGTTTTAACTAGAGGTTGTTTGAAATATAGGCTGCTATTGGTGGATGGCATTGTTTGGCTGTTGATGATCAAGGCCGCGCTTATGCCTGGGGTATTTAATCACGCTTTCTTTTACTCTTAAATTGTAATGAATATTTGGATGAAAAGCTATTTCGTTACATTGGGTTCTTTTGTTTTCATTATTTAGAATCCAAACTCTTAAATTGTAATGAATATTTGGATGAAAAGCTATTTCGTTACGTTGTGTTCTTTTGTTTTCATTATTTAGAATCCAATAGATGAAAGAATGTAATTCCTTTAAGTCAGGTAAGCCATATTCCGAAACATGGTTGCTTCTGATTCATGTTTAAAACCATCCTGAAGTCTTAAGTCCTTCACTTCCAAGTAAAGGTTTTGATTGGTTTCTTGATGTGTGGCGATTGGCGAGTGACCTGGATGTTATTTTGGTCAGTCTAAGAGTACAAAAGTTGTTTCGTGCAGGTGGAAACGAGTATGGACAGTGTGGCGAGGAACCAGAGCGGAAAGATGAAACTAGTAGACCCTTGAGAAGGGATATAGTGATTCCTCAACGCTGTGCACCGAAACTTAAAGTTCGCCAGGTGGGTACCCCATGCCCATGTGTAGAACATTGAACTGCATGATAGGAATTTTTGGGTGTAGGATGCTTTTGTTTCTCAAATGACCTCTCTTTCTATAAAACTGTATTTGACATGCTCTAATTTTTCACATCAAGGTAGCTGCTGGGGGTACTCACTCTGTGGTACTTACACGCGACGGGCAAGTCTGGACGTGGGGTCAGCCATGGCCTCCGGGAGACATGTATGTTGCCCTTAGACCTGACTCCGTCAATTCCTTTTCAAGCATCTATCTTTTACAGAAGCCTACCTTCTGAGTTGTACCGTATCAAACTCTTTTCATATTGTTATTTGTCCTACAATCATCCGTGAACGTTTCTTTTAATTTTCAGAAAACAAATTTCAACACCTGTGCGAGTACAAGGTCTTGATGCAGTGAGGCTTATCGCAGTTGGGGCATTTCATAATTTGGCTCTGCAAGAGGATGGTGCTTTATGGGCTTGGGGTAACAACGAATATGGACAACTTGGAACAGGGGATACTCAGCCGAGATCACAACCTATTCCTGTCCAAGGGCTTTCTGGTCTTACTTTGGTTTGTATCACATTTCGTTGTATCTGTTGTCTCATTTCTCATGGTGTGAAGCCTTGACAAAGTATCTGTTGATATAGGCTCGTTTGGATGTGCTTTTAAAATGACTTAAAGTGCTTTTGGAGAAAATATTTTTGGGTTTCAAAAGCACTTTAAGTCCTTTTTCCGAGAAGCACCAGTTATTTGCTTCTTCTGGGAAGCATTTTAAGTGTTTTTTCAGGATTTACTATCATTTTTACTAAGGATTGTTTCCAAAAATATTTTCACCAAAAGCGCTTTCAGTCATTTTAAAAGCACATCCAAACGAGCTCAAAATCCATTTTATATTGTTTACGCCTATTGTTGTTAGGCAGAGATTGGTGCCTTGGTCGCTTACACCAATTCTTGTTCGGCTAACTTCACTTGCTTGTCCTGATTTTGTTATTGTTGTCTGTCCCGGAAGGTTATTATGTGATAGTCCGTAGGTTTCATGCCTTCGTTACGATATGATTCGCCGTATGTTTATAATGTGTGTTTTTTTAACCTTTTTGCGACTATAGGTGGATATTGCTGGAGGATGGCATTCTACTGCACTAACAGAAGATGGAGAGGTGAGTACTCTCTCCCTCCCCCCTTCTTACTCCACGGGCTACCGCTCAAGTGGCGTTTCAAGTTCATCAATAACCAACTGAGATCAATGTGCTATAGTTCAAATATTCCGGTATTGCTAACGTTGTAACATCTGCATTTGAGTTTGTGAGAGAACCTTATCTCTTCCACCTTTTCATCTCATTGCAGGTGTATGGTTGGGGACGAGGAGAACATGGGAGGCTTGGGTTTGGCGATAATGATAAAAGCAGCAAAATGGTGCCGCAAAAGGTTCATCTTTTAGCCGGCGAGGATATTGTTCAGGTACCATTTCTATCGTCGATTGCTCAAAAATCCTGCACGCTCAGAATAGTTCATTTCCTTCCAACAGTTTGAGATGGATCGTGTTGATTTGTGAATGTAGGTGTCTTGTGGAGGCACTCACTCTGTTGCATTAACTCGTGATGGGCGAATGTATTCGGTAAGAAATTTTATATCTGCAAACGCATTGGAATAATCTTGCTCTGATGTTCCAATATCTTGAGTTTGCTTTCACATCACATCTGGTTCCACCATTTTGTTTACTCCGACGACTTGTCTTTGTATCGGCAGTTTGGCCGAGGCGACCACGGACGCCTTGGATATGGAAGGAAGGTGACGACTGGTCAGCCGATGGAAGTTCCCATCGGCATCCCTCCCAGACATGGCACCGCAGACAATGGACATTGGATTGCCAAACTGGTTGCTTGCGGAGGACGCCATACCTTGGCAATCGTAGAATGGAAAGCTGATGATGAATCAGAATCATAGAAGTTATGTCGGAAAATTTTCCGGTAGCTCGAATAATTGATGTTGGTTATGTATAACTGTGTTATTTATTTTAGTTCAAATAGCAACATAATTTAATATTTTTGTTCTTTATTGTTCCGATTTCGGGTTTTTGAGTTAGGTGGATTTATAGGTTAGTCTCTATAGTTGCTCAGACAATCAAAATGTGCAATGAACATTCAAGCAAAATCATTGTATACCAAATCTCCTCCAAACATATGCCCTACCGAGGAGGGGGCGGCGAGGGATGGGTGGAGTAATAGCTCTGTTTGGCCGGAAAGAGCAGGAAAGGAATCCCCTGGGGAATGTACTATTAATGCTAAACCATTCATTCTAGCTCGGATCAGGATTAGGATATGTCCAGCGTTCCATTCATCGAAAGTAACTAGAAAAAAACCGATACAAACGGAGCGCAGCAAATAAAGCAGAGACATTGTGTTATTTAACTTACAGCTACTGATATGAACGGAAGTCAGATCACAGTCGTCGTGCCGGCGCTCCAGGGGTCATTACCCATGCCAATTCCTCCATGTCTATGTCTGCTCCTAAACATCCCAGCATGCAGAAGCACCAGGTAAAGCAATTGACTTAGTAGTAATATTGCAATCATAGCTTCCAATGTTTGCTGGAAAACACCAATTAATCAAGATAATCTAGTTTATTTAATTTAATTGTGCTTCATCAAACAGCAATGTTTGCTTAAAATCCTCTTACCAAGCGTTTTCCTCTGTGCCCTCCAAGTATGATCTCCTTGCACACAAAACTGCATCAAATCACATCAACCAAACCTGATTAATTTCTTAATTTTTTGTTATGCAAATGTTAACCCTTTTGTTGTTAATTTTGGTGTGGAGATGGGAGAGAAAACTACCCGAAAGTGAGGGCGATAATCGTCAGGGCTATGATAGCTGAAGAAGCTGCACCGGCTAAACTATCAGTTCGCCATATCCGGAGATGTATCAGACCATAAAGCACAGAAGCAGCCCCAACCACACCGGCTATCAATGCAAAGATCAACAAGAAGGTAGTCGATGTATTCCCTCCCAAATCTGCACAAAAGTATCAGAGTCCAAAGCCGTCTTTCGACCATAGTATTCTAAACTACTCTCATCTATTCCAAAAGTAATCATACTCGGTGCACATGACTCACACTTCTCTGATCAACTGAGCTAATAACCCACACATCAGAGTATTTGGGTACTACACTGACAATAAAACATATACAATGTGATCAAATGACTTAACCCACGCATTGAGTATTTGGAGTACTACACCGATAATCAACTGACTCAACCCAAATCGAGCATTAGAGGATACTAAATGCTCAATAAACTATACAATACGATCAATTGACCTAATGCACATCAATGACTAGAGAAATATTGGACAGAGAATAAACCAAGGGACTAAACAGTGATTTATGTACAGTTTATTGTATGTATAGTGTCTTCCGCTATTACTTTGCTTAAAAGTTTGTATAGTCGGTTCTATTTGTGCATATTTTCCTTTGAAATTGCTGTCATTACAATGAGAGAGAGAGAGAGAGAGAAAGAGAGAGCGCTTACGGGGGTGATTTTGCTCTCCATTGATGTACTTATCAAGGGACCAACCAGCAAGTCCAAGCATGATCAGATGGACCACCAAGTTGACTACCAGAAGAGGAGCCATTAAACCTCTACCAATCCTTCCGACCGCCATTGATATTAAAGCTTCAAAAGCTCAAGCTGCAACACTTAAATCTTTAGTTCTCAAACTATACACACTTTTTAAACTCCAATCTCAAAAGTACACAGCCTGAGTGACTCAGAGAGGTTCAAAGTTGATGGAAGAAGAGGACAGAAAGCTGTGTGTGTTACGTGGTTTGTTGTAAGGAACCCAACTGCAAACGTGTCAGCAGCAAGGGCCTGGTGCCTTTAACGTGGAGATAAACCATGCATGAAACATTCGGTCTGAAAAAAACAAACAAATGAAATTGTAGTTTGGACTTGGGAGCCATGTTAGAACAAAGTCACTTGGATCACATGTAGGCTGACGGGAGTTCGTTTAATTAAAGTTAGTTTGTTGGCCAAGTTGTTCAAAGAATCAAAGGGATACTATGTTCGGTGCGTGTGAATGAATTTCGACTTATGCATTGTGAGTTATGTGTGCATGTGCAATTATAATTATTCACGTACATAAACGACTGAGCACACTATTACATAGTACTTTAGAGAGAAAAACTTGATTAAAAGTGTTTGATCACGTCATTTATATGGTACTTCAAAACGGAGCACCGTGAGGCACACGTGTTCTATAGCCCTCCCATCCTAACCTACCCCTAGCACAAGGTCACAGCCCGCCCCAAAGTTTAAGGCTGGCTCCGTCTTTGTCTCTCACAAAAGGACGAGACCCTTATATTAAGTCAAATTCAGCCTCAAACTTGTTATATCCGATGTAAGAGGTGCTCTAGTCACATAATTTTACCGAAGTTTCTCTCTACTCTTGAGAAGCATAAGTTTCACATTCTATGTTACAAATTGCATGATAAATACTATAAAAAAACTGAAGGATTTCGATTCACAAATAAGCTAAATATGTTGTATAATTGAAAATTGCATCCTTGTTGAAGTTTTAAAGAGAAGTATCTGATGCTATGACATCGAGAGGAGGTTCAACAAAGAAAAGTATAGAGCTTAATACAAGAACAAATAGGGCAAAGAAAAACAGTGATTTGCAAGGATCTGCATATCGTCTAAAAAGTGCGACTCCTTCCTCTTGCCCACTCGCTGGAGAAGATGATGCATCATCCAGTTGAAGAGTTGGGCATGTCAAAAAACCATATGCCACTCCTGTAAATGCTGCTCCAAAATGTGTCCTAGAACAACATAATATGACATATGGTCACTTACCGTCTCGTAACGTTTTCGAATATGAAGATGAAAAAACGAATATGTATCTTGAATTTTGAGAATGCGTCCGGTAGCTTACCAATCATCAATAGGACCGAAAATGCTCAACACGAAGCTAAGAAGCGTGGTTATGACAGCCTTTTGGAACATACTCTCCGAAACATCCTTTGCAATTATGTCCTTGTTCTGGACGTGATAAGCGAGCCAAGCTCCGATCATAGCGAATATTGGTCCCTGCGATCACATTACGAACTCAAACATGTTTGGAAGAGGGTAACAAGATTCGTAGAACATGAAATGTAATTTTAGGAGCTGAGCTCCTTACCGTTCCGCCAACAGTTGGCTCTGGTGTATGAAGAAAGCTAATCAAGTTGCCGGAGACTCCTCCAAGTATGTAAATCAAGAAAAATGTGAATGATCCATAGCCTCTGCACACTTTAGGCCCAAATGCAACAAGTCCCCAGCAACCAACAGCTATGTGGAAAAGTCCTGAGTGCTGTATTAAGTTACATGAGCTAAGAGCTAATCGTAGATCAGCAAGAAGAATATGCGTAATGCTCTTTGAGAATGTTTCGCTTTTAGGAATTCCAACGATTTTGTTTAATCGATAAGAACTGTGAGGCGGATATTGCAGATATTTCATAAACCAGAAAGCATATATATGCTGCATTATACTAAGAACCAACAAATTGAACCATTTCATGCACCATGTCATTTCAGACTTTTCCCATTATCTCTTCAAATGAATCGGGGAAAGAACTATGTTTAAATACCGGAAAAATGTTAAGGCCGAGTAAATCTCTAGTAATGTGCAAATGCCCTATATAATTCTTTGATATGTTCACATTCAAATCCAATGGTTAACTAGCTAATGCAAACTATCACAGATAATGTTGAAATGGAAACAGAATGGAATCACGAACCGAATCATTAGTCTTGTACCAGAAACATGGGTGTGACTAGCCTCCACCATTCCCCAACCAGGATCAAATCATTTATCTTTGCTCCATATAGCAATGGAAGAGAGAAGAGCCCTAAGTCAGTGTTCCTAACCGGACTCGCAATCTCAAACAGAAACACTGCAATGTTTACAGAACCCAATATGCTTCTGCATCCAACACAAAGAACAAAGAAGCAAAATGTCCTTATTCCTGAGGAGCTCCCGGATTTAACCTGGCTTTTGCAGTTCCCAATACTATATACCCAAATATAAACGGTCACAAACTTTTAATCGAAAATAGAACTGGAAGGACATTAAACTGAGGTTTATAAACAAACTTATGAACCTGTTTAATGCCCCTAATTCTATTTTTGATTAGAAGTTCTTAACCAGTTCCACTGGGGCGTATTTCTGAGTACTAATTTAGATAGAGCAGGGTCTTACATTAAGTAGAGATCAGAGATGTCATTATACTCGAGCGGATCTTGAGAATTCTCTGGACCAAGATCTTCCCTTTTACTTATAGGATTCCTATATGTCTTCAGTACCCTCTTATCACCATTTCCAGAATCTCGAATGATAGCTGATGGTTTCGCAATTGGAATTTCTTCAGTAGTAAGATCAAAATAGCTAGATGTCGAATTCGCCGAGTCTCCACCTGAGTCAATAAAAACTATAAGAATTAGAATGTCATTTCTAAAACCAACACATAAAGGCTACTCAGCTGGAAGATAGTTTTACCATTATTATTAAGTTTTCCAAGATAATCATCAAGAGACTCCAAACCCTTCTTTAATCTCAGCTGACCACTATTTTTACTGAGTTGCTGCTCCCTTGTCTTGTTTGAATTATCCAGAGGCAGATTCGTGACATTTTGGAGCTTCCCAAAGTAAGAATCCAAGGATCTCAGTTGCTCCCCGTTCGTACCGGAATCTGGTGCAGCATACCAAACCATCCCTAGATTCTTATGTTCTCTAGCAGTATTTGCAGAAGTCGGAATATAATCACATCGAAATTTGCTGTCCCTTTGTCCGATTACGTAGTGATTCGATTGAGCATATCCTTTGTAAGGCATTTTGTAGCATATCGGAACCACAGCCATTTGTTCCTGGAAACGAAAGAAACCAAACAACAAAAAGGGTGTCATGCATTGACTAATTCCAATATGTGCAACAATAGCGATAACCAGTGGTTTATTTCTGCTCTCTATCTCACTCGTCACGTGAAATCAGTGCGGTTACATGCAAGAATCTCTTGAAGAAAAAATTGTGAGGAAGTAAAAGCTAGTACTGAAAACACATGTGGTTGCATTTGCTTTAGACACTAGAGAGCAAATTCTTTTACAAGTACAATACTAAAGCAATAGACTTTTTCTTGTTAGTTGGCAGTTATTTTCTCAGCAACCAAACAGAAAGGCCAACTTTACAAAACACAAAAGCTTAAGATGGTTTGCCTGGTTAATTATGAAAGCAATTTCCATTTATAACCAACCCATTTTCTCCATAGTTACCAAAAACAAGCTTTTAATCTAGAAACCATATTCTCTTCAAGTGCAATACAAAGGAGGAGACTTTTTCTTGGGAAAATACCAACTTTATTGAACAAAACAGAAAATATCAAAAGGGTAGTTTTACATACCTCCAACAGTCCAACCCCCAACTGGGTTTTACAAGCTTTTATTTGCAGAAGTTTTGACAGGGGGACAAAGTCCCAGGTTGTTTGTACTTCTGCTTTGATTCAGATTACGCCATTAACCAAGTACAAATAACACATGGAAAGCTTAGGATTGAAAGGAACAGTAAGAAAGTGAGACCGACAGTCTGACATGGAATGAATGAAATCCAATGTGGATTCTCCTTATCTGTGTTGATTCAATAGGATGTTGCCACGATTGACCCACCGGCGATATGGTTTGGCAACTAGTCAGAAACTAGTGGTCAACGTACAAGAAAACCCAAGAAAAAGTAGAGGCTTTTAGGCCCCACGTTTGTTTATTTATTTATTTTAAGGCCACATAAGTTTTTTATAATTATTTTAAGCCACCTGTTTATATGAAGAAAATTTTATTTTAAGTCCTATTTCCCCCATTTTGGGGCCTGAAATATATATATATACACAAATGTATAAGTGCGCAGACATATTGTGTATATGGTAAGGATTTAGGTTTCTAACTTTCATATGGTTTATGGGAATTGGTCCATACTTTCAATATAAGTAGGTTTATCCTTTAGTTTTCCAGCATTTGCAATTTTAAAGACTACTTTATAATTTTAGTGAGTAGACAGTGTTCACATGTTGTATTCAAATGGCGGACATTTAAGTTAACTTTTATGTTTTGGATTGGAGATAGCTTAAGCCAAACTCCAAGACGGGTTAAACTAGAAATACATTATCAATCATGCTTGCTATACGATGGGTTGGCCCCACTTAATAAAGGAAAATAGTTTCAAGTTTGAGCGTGATAACCAACGTCATGACACACCTATAAAAAATGATTGTCAAGGTAAGCGAAAAAGGACCAAAGTTTATTATTGCAAAAGCAAAGTAAAAATACCCCTCTTCTGTTTTAATCAAATTACATCTTTTGAGAAAACATTTTTCTTTGATCAATGCTTTTTATGTTTTAATTCTTCATGAAAATCTGGTTATCATCTTGCTAATTGTTAAGCTTTCGTACTTTGCAAGCAAACTTGCTGTACATGCTCGTGCTAAAATGTTTTGACCTATTTTCCAGGCAATGACATATGTGAGGCTGTTAGAATAGAAGCTTATGTTTTGGACGTGCATGGTCGTGCATTTTGGAAACTGAATAGCGATTTTGGTGAAGATATTTTGCTTCAAGGTTTGCTTGAAAGTTAGTTTTAAGGGAATTTTAACAAAAAGCTCCAGGTACTGTTCACTTTAACGAAAAATCATATTTTTACACTAAAAAGTCAATCATGGTACTATTCACTTTTACTCTTTATTTTGTCCTTATCGTTAACACTCGAAGTTTTCACGTCATTTTCATTAGTTTTCCTTAGTTTTAACTGTGCCAAATACAATGTGTAGATTAAGATTTTCGGTTCATGACTTATTTCGATGTCTGTAATTTTATTTTTGCGTATTGTACAGATATGGGAAAGTGGGATGGAGCTTCTTCTGTTGAAAACTGGTTCGTTTATGATGCCGAAACGAAAGAGCCAATCAACAAATACCTCTCTTCTCTGAGTCTAAAGTATGCACATACAATTGTTTTACAATTTCAATTAGACTGAAATTGTTTTACAATTTCAATTAGACTTCGCGCAGTTTGCAAGCAATGAAGAAAACTTGCAGGTTCCTCAGACTCCTGAAAGCAATGAAGAAACGCGCAGGTTTCTGACACTTGAAAGCAATGAAGAAAACATGGAGCTCAGAAGGGAGTATTTGGCTGCCCCAGTTTCTGCACAAACTCCTAGATGGGATGATCATTTCCTACTTCAGATTTGGCTCTGTATGGCGGGGAAGCGATCTTGAGAAGCCGGCCAACTGCCTCAGACGGAAAGAATTGTTAATCTGAACTTTCGATCGGATAGTTGTATCTTAATGTTAGGAAAGTTATTTTCGCATGCCTTGAATTCTCATGCACATTTTTGTTTATTTTTTACTTTTGAATTGAATAAATTTAACTAGAATCAATCAAGAGACATAAATATCTAATGTGCAGAAGGAAAAACGAGTACGCAAAAATTATTCCCCTAATTTTATTTTGTGCTGGGAAATGTAAAACAATGTGACGAGCTTTGTTTTTATTGTAATTCATGAAGTCATTTTGGAAGTTAATACATTTTCATGTCTCTTCATTTGTCTTTGATACAACACAACCTCTATATCGTTATAATGCTAGGACTAAATCATTTTATAACGATTAAGAGGTTATTACTTAATATTTAATAGAAGTGTAGTTAAAAATAAACAAATAATATGACTTAGTTATTCTTAATGAAAGTTGAATGTTTACAAAAACCCACATTAGTAGTGGAGCACGCCAATTTCGACGAAGTAAAATTGGAAAAATAAAGACGCCTAATCTCTAGAAGTTAGTACATGTATGTATATAGTGCTTGCTTTAATTCTTCTCATTCTAAATACAATTAATGCTTATCTTCCTTAGTGAAAGATGTAATATTAGCTACATTTATTAACGATTATTACTATGTGGAGACAAGTTTCTCAAGAAGGCACGTACAAAAAATATATCTTATTATAATGTGCTGTTTACTCCTATGTATAACTGGGCAAAGTTGGGATCGAATATTTTTTTATGATTACATTGAGGTTATCACCATGGGGAGGTTTTACTATGTTTGCCCATAGTTTAAGATCCAAAATGTAGCATATTACACAAAGGTTTTTAGCAAGTGTTATCGATGGGCTGGCCCGAGTTTAAATTATTGGGTCCAGGCCCATGCTCGAATTGGTTGGGTGGTGACGAAAATGAGAAAAATTTGGGTGTAAGTTGTGATTTCGTTTTTTTATCTTATTTGTAACGGTTGGCATAAGAAAAGAAATGAAAACAACCGCGGCGTTTGTTGGGATTTTTCATCGTTTCTGTCTCATTTGTGACGGTTGGGCATTGAAGAAAACAAAATTCACGTTTTCAGCCTGTGCTCGATTTGGCTGGGTGTAAGATGTGATTTCGCTGTTTCTTTACCTTATTAGTAAGGGGACTTTAACAAAAAGTTCTCGATACTGTTAATTTTAACGAAAAATCATATTTTTATACTAAAAAGTCAATCCTAATACTATTTACTTTACCCTTTATTTTGTCCTTAACGTTAAAACTCAAAATTTTCAAGTCATTTTCATTAGTTTTTCCTATTAGTAATGGACTTGAGCATTGAAGAAAAGGGTAAAAATTTGGGTGCAAGTTGTGTTTTCACGTTTCTCTCATTCATGACAGTTGATTCTTTTTCTTTTTTTAAAAAAGGAGAAAAACTTGGGTGTATACTGTGATTTTTCATTGTTATTCTCTCTTTCATAAGGGTCGATTGCTAAAAAATGATAAAAACTTAGCTGTATGTTGTGATTTTCATCCTTTCTCTATCTCTTTCGTAACAGTCGATTCTTAAAAAATGATAAAAACTTGGATGTAGTGATTTTCACGTTTCTCTATCTCTTTTATAACAGTTGATTCTTTAAAAAAAATAGAGAAAAACCTGGGTGTGTGTTGTAATTTTTTATCGTTTCTCTATCTTTTTTGTAACAATTGATTCTTGAAGGAAAAAAAGGAGAAAAACTTGGATGTATGTTGTATATTTTCATTGTTTATCTATCTCACTCATAACGGTTGGATGTGGAAACTTGAATGCAAACTATCATTTTTATCATTTTTTTATCTTGAGGAACGTGACAATTACAACGGTTACATGCAAAAATCTTATAAAGAAAACAATGATGATGACATAAAAGCTGGCGCTGAAAACACATGCGGGTGCATGTGCATTTGGAGAAATGCAGGCAAGATTTTAATCTAGAAACCAGAGTTATCCAAGTAAAACACTAATGAGAGAGCATTTTCTCAGCAACCAAACTGATCAAACTCGAAAGGCCAACTTGCTAGACAAATCAGGATACATTTTCTTTGAAATTTCAGTTATTTTCTCAGCAACCAAACAGAGGACATGAATATGAATATATGAAATTAATTAATATACTCTAGACTGGGGTTGATTTGGTGAGTGAGAAAAGGTCACTACCGCTATGTTTTTACTACTGCAAAGACATACTTTGTATATACATAGTAGGTCACTACCGCTATGTTTTTAGCACTGCAAAGACATACTTTGTATATACATAGTTTAGTTTTAGTAGTTACACCTTTTTAGTAGAATGATAGCATAAGTCAATCAGATAATTAGTTGTTAGGGGGGGAGGAATCAATAAGGATCGAACCCGTATAAGCATGACCGTTTCTAAGATTTTTGGGGCCCTATGCAAAATTTATAAAAAGGCTCCTCCTTAAGATAGTTTTCCTAAAAGAAAAGTAGGACAATTTTTTTGTAGCTCTTTTTACTCTAAATATCTGATTGTGTACTCTAAATTTTTATATTTAGAAAGAAAACAATTTTTTTTTTAATATATAGCATCACAACATAAAAATATTGGGTGGCAAAATTTTTTTGTGGTCCCTTCAAATTTGGAGCCTTTTGTCCCCCAAGCCACTTCTGTGTACTATGATGCATAAGTATGATTGCTTTCTGTCATTACGATAAACCGTATCTACAAAGAAAATTTTATTTCAATGAGAACATTCATCGTTCACATGTTATATATAAATAGCGGACATTTAAGTAATATTTAATATCATTTCATTAAATAGTCCTAGAAACTTGACTTGATAGTTGTTAAGGCCCCTACACTCTATCAAAATGACTTAAGTAACATCACACAAGCGTGAAATATCACCATATGCCTATTTATCAAAACAAGGTTGGGTGAAGCTCGAGAATGAAGACTTGTGTTCATTATATAATGGGTCGGCCCAACTTAAGAAATCATAATATTTTCAGGGGTGTGCTATCCACACATCCCTTTTACTTCTTCCACACCCTTTGTTAATTAATTTCCGTCATTTGATCTTTTTCAATTCATCCGATCCGACGGCCAAAAATTAAAAGGGTGTGAAAGAAGGAAAAAAATGTGTGTGGATATCACATCCCTATTTTCAAGTTGGGGCGTGATAAACAACGTCGTGACAGTGCACCTACTATGAATAAAAAGGAAACTGAATAGCAACGTAAAAGCGGCCATCATTCAGTGTTGTTTCTTTTTAATCAAATTACAAATATACCCTCCAAACCCTAGACGCCTCCTATTTATATGTGTTTTCGCTTCACTTTCATACCAGCAAAGGTCGTCGTTGCTCATATCTATCTTGTCTCGTGTTTTTCAGAAAACGATTTCATCAATAAATTTTCTTCCGTTTGCATTTCCCTCACTCTAATATGAAGGTATGAAACTTCTCTAGCATTTTTCTGTTATATCTCAATTGCATGTATGTCGATGTTCTCATATCTATATTAATTTGCATTTTTTTCTCAAGCTCGATTGTAATCTAGTAATGAAAATGGAATAGATTAGAGTCTTGATGATTGTTAACTTGTCTAAATGAATTTTATGGGTGTGTAGTTGTTAGCTTAAGTTCTTAGTAGATTATTATCGTTTTCTTATACAAGTGTTGAGGATGTGGCGAATCGAGTAAGACTTCACATTCAAAGATCAATGGTCATAACTACTTAAATCACAAATCAGTTGCATATTACTTTAATTTTTTTATGTAATTATATATTTGAAAATTAGATTAAATTAAATCATTACTGCATATCATTTTTGGGCAAACTAGTGGATTGTCAATCTACCGCGTCCTGTGTTCAAGCCATCACCCTCTCATGTAGAATTGTAACATCCCACATCGTCCAGGGGAGTGGATCATGTAAGCCTTATAGGTATATTCTCGTATCTTCCTAGCATGAGGCCTTTTGGGAGTTCACTGGCTTCGGGTTCTATCGGAACTTCGAAGTTAAGCAACTTCAGGCGAGAACAATCCGAAGATAGGTGACCCATTAGGAAGTTCTCGTGTGAGTTCCCAGAAACAAAACAATGAGGGCGTGGTCAGGGCCCAAAACGGACAATATCGTGCTACGACAGAGTCTAGCTCGGGATGTGGTGGGGCCCGAGCTGGGATGTGACAAGAATAATATAGAATATTGTCTTTACTAAAATTATATATTAAAACAATTAAGATGTTTAGATTCTATTTGGATGATGATTTGAGATTCATAGATTTTTACCCTGTTAAGCATTGAGATTTTTTTTTTGGTCTTCAAATTTAATTAGTGAAATAGTTTTAAAAGTAACAAATTTTTGATGAGTAAACATTAGGTGGCTTTTCACAATAGTTATTATTCATCAAATATAGAATGATTTTGAGGAAATGTATAAATAATTCGAAGATTTTTTTCTTTATTTTTTAGAAAATTTAAGGAATAAAAAAAAATGTTATTAAAACTCCAAAAATTTAATGGTGCACTCCAATTCTTTTATATTTAGAAAAAAAAAATATTCCTCCCAGGAGTACACAATTAAAATTTTAAAATGCCGATAGTAATTACCAAAAACAAATGTAGATTAGAAAATTGTACCTTCAAATTTTAATGATAGTTTTATGTAATATATTAAAAATAAAACCTATAAGACAAATTTTTTAACCACACTTAAAACTCAGGTGATGACAGGTTTCGTTTTTCGAACTGGCAATCCTGCCTTTAATGGCCGAATCATTGTGTTTTTGCACAAACACGTTGCTCTCCGCAAGAGAGTTGACCTTTACTTCCATCCTCTCAACGATAGCTGTAGCAGAGCTCCAAGCAATCACCATTTTCCTCCAAAATTGTTTGGCAAGTACGAATCTCTCTCTCTATCTCTCTCTCTCTCAAAACCTCAATTTATACTCTAAGGCCTCGTTTGTTTGACCTCCTTAGCTAGGACTGGACTAGCTAGGACTAATAACCCATGTTTGGTATAGCAAGGGACTAGGTTAAATGGGATTAGCTCGGACTCGTGTCGACTAACTCCTTCGCTCGCTGATCTTAGCTAAACCCCTCGAAAACGACGGGATTGCTAATCCCGTCTCCACCACCACCAATATCCCGCGAACCCAGTCATCAAAATCTAGCCTTTTTGCCAACCTCCATCATCCTGCGAACCCAGCAAACCCAACCCCGTATTTGCTTTCCGACGAACCCACAACCTAAATTTCCCGACGAACAGACAAAAGAACATTTAACACTTAATCGATATGCAGAAACGGGTTCTCCATTTTCATCAATTGAACTGGAATTAGACCCATAAAACAAAGATAACAGTCTTCGCCTAAAGAACTTTGGATCCGAAAACGATCTTCGCAATTTGAGATCCCTCTGCCACACTGCAACTCCTACTCCAAGCGTTTCCTTGGAGGCGAAACGAAATGAATACAAGGGGAGAGAGGGGAGAGGGGACAGTGGTACATATGTGAAACAGAAGAAAAAGGAAGGGGGAAGGAGGAGACGGAGGGCGGAGAAAAAAATGGAAAATGATAAAGAGGGAGGCATATAAAACAGAGAAGAAGAGGAGTAGAAAAAATGGAAAATGATAAAGAAATAATAAAATATTAATTGATATAGATTAAATTAAAAAAAAAATATTAATAAATATAGATTAAATAATATAATATTATAGTCCTGCTTCTTAGTCCGACACTGTATCAAACGCTTCACTAAGTTAGTCCAGCTTAGTCTAGTCTAAGCCAGTCTAGTTTAGTCCCTGAAACTAGTCCAGTCCGAGACAGTCCGATGCAACAAACGCACTCTTAAATTCAAGACGCTGGGAAGATTTCAGAGCTGACACTTCTTTTGCATGTTGGACAGTACGGACGCTATTTATACAATGTTGTAGTCTCCATCCGTCTTCCACACTTGGCGGGAGATAAAAAAAAAAAAAAAACTAATGAAAATGGCTTGAAAATTTTGAGTTTTAATGATAAGGACAAAATAAAGGGTAAAGTGAATAGTACCAGGATTGACTTTTTAGTATAAAAATGTGGTTTTTCGTTAAAGTGAACAGTACCGGATGCTTTTCGTTAAAGTTCCCTAAAAAAAGGTGGTAGAGAGTAATGGTTAGGTTTACAAAATCAAAGATAATAGTCCGTAATTTAAAATTAACGGCTAATTACGATTTAAACCATTATTATGGTAAATATTTTAAAACTTATTTACTATAAAAATGTCTATGTATGTATGAAAAACGAGATACATTTACAAACTAGAGAAAGATAATAAATTTGGTCGAAAAAGAAAAAAGAAAATAATATCTAACATTTTAGGCTTTTATGGTAAGAAATCCGAGACGTAGAAATTAAATAGGCGAGAAGGTTACGACTCCTGATATTTCACAGCCAGAACAGGAAGGAAACATATTCCCTTTTATTTTCACGGTCCTCGTAAATCCCAAATCTCAAATCGGACCCCAAAATTTGATTGGCGACAAATTTCTCCCGCCAAGTGTCGAAGGCGGATGAAGATTTCGACACTATAAATAGCGATCCCGCTCTCCGGTATGCTGCACAAGCGGCAGAGCTGAAATCTTCCGGTGTCTGAGTTTGAGGATAGATTTGAGACTTCGAGTGAGTGACTGTTGAATTCTGAATCCATTTTTTGGGAGAGCAATGGCAATAGATTCGAGCTCTGCTGTTGAGAGGATGGATGTGGAGGTCAACTATCTTGCGGAGAGCAACGTGTTTGTGCAGGACCATGACGGCCCGGCCGTCGGAGGCCAGATCGCCGGTTCTAAGAACGGAACCTGTCACCAGGTGAGTGGTTTTCTTTTCGGTTTCTGAGTACCGATTGAGGGGCTCTGTTTGTTTGGTGAGAAAAATTTTGAATGTAGGGGAGACTTGATTTTCGTAGCCGTTATATCTTGTTTCTTTATTCTGTTTGGATGACGGGAAACGTCGGAAAATGAGATTTGGAGTAGATTTATTATTTTGGTTAATTTGATTGTCGATTTGTTGGTTTAATCGCGCAGTGCCGTCAGAGGAAGACGGAATTCGCAGCGTCGTGTACAAACGTCAAAGCGAAAGGCCCTTGCACGGTTAAGCTATGCCATAGTTGTCTGAAGAACAGGTTAGATTAGAATGAAATTTGGTCTCGCTTTTTTCGGTTTTCGGTTTTTCGAGTTAAGTTTTTGGACTAAAATTGGTGGTGGGTGTTGATTGAGAATAGGTATACATTGACGGCTGAGCAAGTGGCAGAGAAATGTCCGAAATGTCGAGGCGAATGTAATTGCAGTATATGCCAGTAAGTGTTTGGCATGCCATATAACTGTTGGCTTTGTGTTTGTAGTTGTTTGCGTTTTGGTGCTGCTGCTAATTTGAGAAATGTGTTTTCTCAGTAAGAAAGCCGGTTTAATGCCCACTGGTATTCGCACACACGAAGCCAAGAGGAAAGGGTATCAATCTGTTGCCGATATGTTGATTGTGGAGAAGCCGCAAAAGAAGGAAAATGGCGACAGCAAGGGTGGTAACGGGCAGGAGCGTGTGGCTTCAGACAAGGTTTGGTGCTGTTACTAATGACAGTTTAATGGTTAATGCATATTGATATTGTTGGTGTTGTTTTTGGTTGGTCTGTTACTGGTTAAGTGGCTTATGCTCTCAAGTTTTGGCAGGCAACGGGTGTTGATTCACCTAGCAAACGAGGGAAGGAGGATGCCCTTGATCAGAGTGAAGATGTGAACTCGGATGCAGCAAAAGAGGATGAGTTGATAGAAACTTGTGATGACGGCAGAGATGGTGGTGCTGCTGTGAATGACAATGATGCGAAGGCCAAGGGCAAGGCTGCAAGAGGGCGTCACAGGGTCAAGGAACATTGCATGGAGAGCAGAGTGGTTGTTCCTGAGGTTCCCCTACCTCAGGGCACCCCATTGACAACTGTAGCGGGTGTCGACTTAGCTGCAGAGGATGTGGGAAATGCTCTCCAATTCTTGAAATTTTGTGAAACTTTTAGAGAGGTAATCCTAACTTCTGTTCTATTAGATAGTCGATTGAAAGATGCTCTAAACTTGTTTATATTGATTTTGACACTTGAAATCCCATTCCTTTATTCTTTTTACTCTAGTTTTTTAAGATTGAAAAGCCCCAAGCTGAGTCTGTTCTTCGGGAACTATCGCGTGGAGGAAGTGGGCGAAGTGGACGGCCTGGACAGTACTCCTCTGTAGTTCGATTTCATAGCTATATGCTCTTCTTCATACAGAAGGGTTTATTACAGGAGTAAGAACTCTACCTAGCATATTATAGTTATGCATAAAGTTCTTTTTGTAAACTTTAATGATTGAAATAACTCAAGTGGTTTCTTACATCTCCATTTTCTGTCAGGTCTCTTGAGCAAGCAAGCACCAACTGCTCATGGTTCCAAGATTTGGCGAACCTGGTGTCTGCATCCGGGGTCTCTAAGGTCGACCCTGTGATGAAGGAGCTGCCTACAGAGTGTTTTATTGAAGGCGGGGAGGGATACGATGCCTTAAACTTCTCCCAAAAGCTTCAGCTTCTGATTTTCCTCTGCGATGAGGCTCTTAACACAAAGTAAGTAGAAGATACATAATATGTAAATTATAATTTTGTAATTGTCTTGTGTTCTGCGTTACGAGTGATGATAAATTTTCAACCTTTCCTCCAGGACGCTGAGGGGATGGATTGAGGAGCAAAATGAAAGATCTGTCCAACGTAAAAGGGACATGAAAGCAAAAGTTGCTCTGGCAAAGGATAAGGTAATATGAAAACAAGTCAAGCTTTTATGAGGCAAGCATCTTATGGAGCCAACATAGAGTTCTGTTTTTAACTAAATCATATATGTGCAGGAGAGAGATCTCCAAGCAAAGTTGCAAGAGCAGATGGCTAAGAGGACCACTGCAGAGAATAGCGATGCTCCCAATTTCAGAGTCGAGCATCCTGATTTCAGAGTCGGACTCCATTGCTTCAGTACTCAGAAGTGAGTTAGCTCAAGCTCACATGGAGGTGGTTGAAGCAATGGCCATGGTACCCGAAAGTAAGTTCCCATTTCTAATATATTCAGCCTTTTACCTTTTTTCTTTCTAGAATTGATGTTAAAACTATCGTTAAGACTTAAGAATACTTGAGATGCTTTTCCAGATGGTTGAAATTCTTTTCATGTTTTGGTCCTTCACGAAAATCTGGTTGCACATGCTTGCGCTAAAATTGTGGACGTATTTTACAGGCAATGAAATATGTGAGGCTGTTAGAATAGAGCCCTACATTGTGGATGCTGATGGCCATGCCTTCTGGAAACTGAGAGGCGATTTTGATGAAGATATATTGCTTCAAGGTTAGTTTTAACTGTTCCAAATACAATGTGTTGATTTCCAGTCTTTGAGTTATTTCGAGGTCATAATTTTATTTTCAACCATTTTACAGGTCTGGGATCCTGGGATGGAACTCCATCTGGTGAACAATGGTTCGTCTGTGGTGCTGAAATGAAAGAGCCAATTGACAAATACCGCTCTTCTCTGGCTCTAAAGTATGCACACATACTTGTTTTATGTTGTTAATATCGTTCTGATATCGCACTGTTTTCTCCCCCACCCCAACCCATTTTTTATGAACTGGTTGTTGATGCATTAACTGTTTGCTTGGCTTGCAGGGAAAAACAGACCAAGAGGGAGCAAAGGCGTTACAGAACTTCAAGCAATGATGAAAAATTGCAGCTTTCCCAAACTTCTTCGGAAAGCAATGAAGAAAACGCGCAGGGTTCTCAGACTCCTGATAGCAATGGCGAAAGCGTGCAGGCATCCCGAGCTCCTGAATGCAATGAAGAGAACATGGAGCTCGGTCCTTCGGCGAATTAAAATTTTCAGCCTAGAAGACATGAAAGCCATTTTTCTTGGAATACATAGGAGGGGGTATACATGTACAAGAAAATATGGATACATACAACTACACAAGTTACATGTATCCGGCTGCCAAATTTCGGTAGAAACTCCCACATAGGAAAGTCGATCATAATTATTGAATGAGGATCCTCGGATCCTCTCTGTGAGGATTCTGGGATCTTCAAATTGTGTCCGTTCATCGTACATCATGCGGTCAAAAATTATTTTAAAAACGTTTATTTTAAATTAAATATGAATAGTACCTGACGAAAGCTGATCATATGATATACGATGAATGGACATGATTTGAGGATTCCTAGGATCCTCGTAAAAAGGATTCGGAGAGGATCCTCCTGCATAATTATTTTGTAACGGGGAATGTAAATTTTTTGATGAGTTCTGTCATAGTTATTTCTTAACAGCTTTTGGAATTTGTATGTCTCCTCTCTTTGTTTATCTTGATATTTGCTTTCAAACTATCGCTGTTGGGATTGCTTTTCTAGCTAGGAATCATTTTGGCTCATAATCGCATTTCCGAAAGTGGTTTATAGCTTAATTAGAGCTTTCGACTTGTTTGGAAAGTGATTTAAGAATGGCTAAAACACTTATTAGGAAAGAAAGGGTTAATAGTAATTTTGGGGTGTATGCAACTATTTAGTCAAAAACCCAACCTTAGTTTCTTGGACATTAACTTTACTTACTTTTCTGTAATTATATTTATGATGTGGCCTAATGAAAATAGCCCACCTGTCTTATCTAAAACTCCACCAAACATTTGTTATCCTTGTAACCAAACACCTAGTTTCTTGGGTAGTTGAGGTCGCTAGAGGAGAGATGGGTGGAGTTGGGGTTGCCGGGGAAATTAGGGATTGGGGCAAGCTTGCCGATGCAGAGAGGTTTGGGGGTGGGCTCGCTTGAGAAGAGAGGGATTAGGGTGGCTTCACCAGAAAAAGTGAGGGATTTGGGGGCAGGCTCAACGGAGAAGAGAGGCTAATGGTAAAAAAATTGAAAAAATCATATTACAAACTATATTAGTTATGTTTCATGCCTAAAATAATTAGGTCTCAAAAGTTCAGATATGAATTCAAAACTATTTTTAATTCATGGATGTTATCACCGGTTAAGTGAGCGGCGAAATTGCCGGAGAAGAAGGGGACGGTTTGTATGCACATAGGCAATAAGGGAGAAGGAAGATGGATGATGTTTGGTTATGAAGATAGTAAGAGTTTTGGGTTGAAATTCATTTGAAATGTGTTAAAATTGTAGTGAGCCGGTGAAAGATAGTCATAAAATTAGGAAGTCCCAGTGGGAGGCAGATTCTTTGCCCTCCCATTTCCCATGTCCTCCTGTTTTATGTGATCACGGTTAAGCCACGTTAATATTTTATATTATTTTTTTATAAAGATAATAAGACAAAAAGGAATAGTAATATAAAATGTTGACGTGGCTTAACCGTGACCACACAAACAAGAGGGCACGAGAAATGGGAGGGCAGAGAATCTGCCTCCGTCCCAATGAGCACTGAGCACCTAAGTATTGGCCTTATCATTTTTTTGAGTTTAGTTACTATTTTTTTTTTAAAGACAACTAGTGACAATCCACGGTTATCCACTACTTCCGAGGGTTAGGAAGACTCACAAAGGCATTTTAGCCTTCCCTGGCCATAAGTCTGGCTTTCAGACTAGCAGCGGATTTCGAACCCGAGACCTCCAATTTTTAGTTTTAAGGAAACCTTATAATCCGTCTTTTACCATTGGCCCACCAGCTCGTTGTCAATGTTTAGACGGATCAGTGAGTAGATAACGTGCTCACATGCCATATATAAATGATGGGCATTTATGTCATTTTCTTATCGTTATATTTTTTTTCTTCTTCAAACAATTGATATTATCTACACTAAGAGAGAGGGGTGGACTTAACCTCACAATAAACTAGCAATAATGTGGTTCAAATTCGCCTTTGACAATAATTGAACCTAAGATATCTCATTTACAAGTGAAGAGGAATACTATTAGATCGTAACATGAAGTGACTGTTATTGTTATATTGAAAGTGCATGAAACTTGATTATATTAAACTAAACATGGTAAATACCAATATTAAATTAAACATGGTAAATATCAAAAATATATATAACAATATTTGAGAATTTCTTATATTTCATTAATCTCCAAAGTGGAGTATATATAGGAGTTACAATTGGTATTACATATGTACTTCACCAATGTGGGACAATAAACTACTATTTACACTTTAACTAATATATAACTCGCAACACACCCCCTTCAAATTGGTGCAAAGATGTCACGCATGCCCAACTTGTCAAGCGAGTTGGAAAACACACTATTAGACACAACCTTAGTAAGAACATCATGAAGTTGATCTTCAGATCTCGCAAAAGGAAACATAATAATTCCAGCATCCAATTTTTCCTTAATGAAATGTCGATCAATCTCCACATGTTTTGTTTGATCATGTTACACTGGATTATGAGCAATCTCAATAGCAGCCTTGTTATCACAATGAAGTTTCATAGCACCCTTGTATTTAAACCCAAGATCTCTCAACAATTTTTTCAACCACAACAACTCACATACACCATGAGACATACCACGAAACTCAGCTTCTGCATTTGACTTAGCCACCACTTTTTGTTTCTTGCTTCTCCAAGTAACTAAATTACCACCCATAAACGTAAAGTATCCAGATGTAGATCACCGATCAGTGATAGAACCTGCCCAATCTGCATCTGTATACCCTTCAACGTTCAAATGACCATTCTTGGAGAAAACCAAGTCTCTGCCATGAGTCATCTTCAAGTACCTCAAAATACGGGTTATTGCATCCATATGAGCTTCACTAGGTGAGTGCATAAACTGACTTACCACATTAACTGTATAAGCAATGTTAGAGCGAGTGTGAGACAAATAAATTAATCTTCCCACAAACCTCTGATACTGTTCCTTATGAGTAGGAACTTGATCTGGAAATAAGCCCAGACCATGATTCTGCTCAATCGGAGTATCAATAGGTTTGCAATCTAACATACCTGTTTCAGCTAACAACTCAAGAACATACTTCATTTGAGATAGAAAAATATCATGCTTGGATCGTGCAACCTCGATTATAAGAAAATACTTCAATTCACCCAATTCTTTCATCTCAAATTCAGTAGCTAGGTATTTTTGAAGGCGTTGTATCTCCTTCTGATCATCACCAGTCACTATCATGTCATCAACATAAATAATCAATGCAGTTACCTTACCATTTTGTCGCTTTAGAAACAAAGTATGGTCTGAATGACTCTGGGTATACCCAAACTTCTTCATTGAACTTGTAAACCTCCCAAACCACGCTCTAGGACATTGTTTCAAACCATACAAAGCCTTTCATAACCTTCATACAACACATTTTTCAGGAGATGTTCCAATACCAGGTGGGAGATCCATATAAACTTCCTTCTTAAGATCACCATGAAGGAAATCATTTTTAACATCAAACTGCAACAGAGGGCAATCCTGATTTGCTACTAAAGACAGAAGAACACGCACAGTATTAAGTTTGGCAACAATAGCAAAAGTCACATGATAGTCCACCCCATAAGTTTGAGTATAACCCTTAGCAACTAATCTGGCTTTATACCGGTCAATAAAACTATCTGCTTTGTGCTTAAAAGTAAACACCCATCTACATCCAACGGCTTTCTTCCTGTTTGGTAAATGAACCAAATCCCAAGTAGAATTCTTTTCCAAAGCTTCCATGTCAACTTTCATGGCATTAACCCACTTAGGGTCAGACAAAGCACCTTGCAATTTTGTCGGAATTGATACACTAGACAGCTGACATATGTAAGATGCATATGGTTTGGACAAGCGATGAGTAGACACATAATTGTTGATAGGATATTTGGTTTTGGCATGCATATCAGGCTCATATTGTACTTTAGGTTTTCCACGATTAGCTCGTGGAGGCAACTGATAAATAGAAGAATCATCATAATTTACCTCATGTATGCCACCATCTTGTACCAAACTGTTAGAAGAATCATCACTGGACGAACCATCATCAGGCAACTCGTTAGACATATCAGTAGCAGGCAACCGATCATCAAAAGGTAATTCGTCAGACATACTGGCAGGCAACTAGCTGGGCATATCTGATCTGTCGTTAGTAGAAATAGTTATGGGAATGACAGGTGACCATTCATTATCTGTAGCCGACTAATCAGTATCACGTAACATAATAAGTTATGTTCCCAACTCTGCCTGTAACACATCATCCATACTATCTTTTCAAATCTGCACTTCACTCCCCCTCTCCCCCCGAAGTGGAGAGTCGGAATAGGGCTTCACAAAATACGAAACTTCCTCGTGGAATGTGACATCCATGGTAATATAAGTTTTTTGAGTTGGATGATGATAACACTTATAACCTTTTTTATTGTTAACATACCCAA